ATCTAGAGACTAACCACTAAAGAAGATGGAGACGGGCACTTGCTTCGATCTGACAACCGCCAGCGGAGGACTCTCTTGTGATGGACGATCATGTGTGAGAATTCAGTCGTTCCAGAGAAAAGACTGGGCCATGTGGTTCGGTGACATTGCAGAGAAATAGAAGAGTGAGGTGCAAATCCTAGTTGACTGTTACGCGAGTACCACGGGGAACTTGGCAACAGCAATAGGTTTCTTCTCGGGGAAGTGTAGTCTCGAGTCGCTAGAGATGCTAGAATCCGAACACCATCTAGTCACGGCATTGAGTGTGGAATCCTGGCCCGGAGTGTTGCAAATGATTCAGAAACACATCAAGGGATGGAAGGTAGGCTTGGAGGCAGAAAAGGGATTCCCAGTGAGTGATTGATATAGCTTGCCAGTAAATGCGTAGTCTTTGGTAGGATCGGTAATGGCAAGCTTCTGCGGGACCCATTGCACATGTCGATGGTGGAGGACTCTATGCAGAGGAAGATGACTGACAAGGACTTCTCGGTACCCAAGTGTGTTTGACTGGCGAGAATGTCACATCATTCGCTCCAGCTGCTTGAGTAGATGTGGGGAGCAATACCTGGACCCAGAGTAGAGGACTTGAGTGATAAATGGGGAGAAGAGCTTTTGAGTCTTGAAAAGGAGAATTCTAGTGACTTTGAGAAGCAAAGTACGAATGGCAAAGAACTCAATAATGCGACTGATTATTGCCGGAGGCTTGAGTCGTTTGAGACCGCTTACAACGTATTCGCTATACCGATGGAAGTGAAGCGTGTCTGGAGCCGAACTCGACTTTTGTTGACTTCTTGGCTGTACTTCTTGACGAAAATCCACATGAAGGAACATGAAAAAGAGTATCGTCAGTTCCTGGCAGAAATAGGGCCGGAGGCTTTCAAGAGGCCGCAGCTTATCCATCGCAATCGATTAACCACGGGATGGAAGCAGGCTGGTAAGGCATCTAGAGATAACACTATAACGAGGCAGTCGATACTGGAGGAAGATCTAGCGAAAAATGTGAGCTTGAGCTTACATCACTCTTTTTGTTTGAACAGAGAGCCCAAGGTGAAGAAGCTACCCAACCATCCCAAAAGGTTGCAGAAACAAAAAGAGTGGATGCGGGCCTATGAGCAACTGAGGGCATGGGAAGAAGTCGTGATTAGTTCCAATATCGAAGAAGAATTGACAAAGCAGAACACGGTGTCGAGCGCATCTGAACCCAGTACTTCAGAAGCAAGGGGGACGAATGAGGTCGGGTACTCCGCGTGGATTCTTGAGTCTTGAGTAGGGAAAAGAATCGGGCTTGAGCGTGAACTCAGATGAAATCTGAGGCAACAAAAATGGGATTTCAACCTATAAACTATTGTTACTTAATCTTTATACCTAATGTTAAATCTATTTATAGATCATAATTTTGCGTGACAATTTTCTGACTGGTTGAACACAAATTTTTTAGGAATGGCTTATAAAGGCGAAATCCAGGGTGCGGTAGAATGAAGATTTTGATCCTGTTTAGCTGTAGAATGAAAATTTAACAAGGCTGTGAATTTTGGGGATGAAAAAAGGTTGAACCTGCTGCAAACTTCCGTAAATGACCTCTGGCACTGGATCTTGAGACGCACTCAATCTTCTGGAGGCTCACTGATTGGACGAAGACGCGCCAAAAGGACATCGATCTTGAGCCCGGGGAGTATGTGCCAGTCGTTCATAATCTGAAGTTTGGTCTTGATTTTGGAGGAAACGGTAATTTTTGAATTTCGAATTGACCATGTCATGCTCAAGTAATTTGCACCAAGTCAAATAAGAAAACGAAAAAGTCAGAAGACTCGAAAAACAATTGCGGAAAAGTGGACAGAAATCAGTCTGGAGACCAACTTCTATTCGCAATTTGTCTAAAAATAACAATCGATTCGAGTACAGCTGTCTTGTTCCTGATAGAGAGCATCAAGAAGTCTTACGAGAGTGCCATCGTTGGGCTAAATTTCTTCTGGACTGGGCAGGTCGACCAGTGGAGCGACCCAATGGTCAAGACAATAAAACTATTGAATTAAAACTAGTTATTCTCTAAAACTTCTAGAGTTGCTTTACTTACATTGTTTAGTTAGTTCTAAAGTCGCGTCACTATGTGAGTACTTAATTTAGTTTTTTTGAGTAAATTTTACACAGTCTTGTTGAGATAAGGCGGGTTTTAGACTGATCCATCTGAAATAGATCAAACGTCCACTGTTTAATAAAAACTAATGGTATACTTGAGTTTCCAACCCTGTTTTTAACGGCGTTTGCGTGTTTTGAGGTTATTCAGAGACCTAGCTATGGGGCGTTCTTTTTACTAGAGTGGGGGGTTTTTTGGTAGTGGCCCTTAAGCTGTAACACGATTTTGTATTCCTATGTCTTAAGCGAACCGAGTTGGCTCAAAGAGAATAAGGTACAAAACCACAAGAGGTAAAGTCCCTGACCCTTGAGCCAATGGTTATAGGGCCTGTTTCTCCTAACCTCATTCGTGATTGAAGTAGACGACTGTTACATAGTGTTTTTATGGCGCTCCTGGGTGTTTTACGGCATCAAGACAACGGGATCGAACCAGCTTGATGCAGCTCCGGGCTACATGCCCATTCTAGAGTACTGGCGGTACGGTTCAACCAGGACGTGTTATAGGGCCTATTTCTGTTGACCTTATATTAGAAGTTACAGGGATTCAATGATGACAAAACTTGTTTTCATTGCGACCATATGGAAAAATAAAGGTTCGAGACTAAATGGCGAGATAAAAATAAATTTCGATGGAATTATAATGCACTATGCTCATTGTGAAAATATTCCATCTTTTAGCCATTATTATCAAAAATGTTTCTTAACATTGGTGAGAAAATATAGAAAATAAAGACAAAATTCGGTTTCAATAGGTTTTGCATTTTGGCTTTTTTTGGTTATGCCTTGAAGTGAGATTAGCCATATTTCTACCAATCTTTTTTCAGCTCTGTCGGTGAGATCGGAAACTAATTTACTCCAATTGGAAAAACGTATCCGGATTCCACACTTGGGTTTTTTTCATAAAGTTATTGAGTCAGTTTGACGCCAGTGGCTTAGTTTTTTAGTGGCCAAAAAAACTATTTCGCTTTCTCTGAAAAACACTTCGGCCTACTTCGAACGTAGCGGCTTTCAAAAACACGTTGAAAAAACAATTTGCACTGTTTTAAGCCAATGGCCGTTAGTGCTACTTTCTCATGTGGTTAATGAGTTGCACAACTGTTACATGGCGTATAGTTACATCAAAACCGCAAAATTCAATCAACAATGCCCCCTAGTCGGGCAGTAGCCCTTGAAAAAACAGTCGATGCTAACATACTGAGTGCTTAATTTTCCATCCTATAAGATTCGATAGGTTAGACAACATACAAACTTTCATCGCCGTGCTATCAAGAGCCTTGGTAGAGTACGGCCCGCCTATTCTGGACAACAACGCACGTAAAATAACTTACAAAGTCATGAGTTTACTTAACTCATGGTCGAAATGCTTTTTTTCCTGCTCGTCATTTTATATTAATTTGGTTTGCTAATGCGTCAATTTGTTTTGAAGCTAAAAATCATTAGCAAGTTTTTCGAAAACTTTTGAGTCAAAATTTGAGTTTTGCACTGATGATTTTGTTAGTTCATGGTCGCAATGCTTCATTTTATAGCTCATAATTATCGTTTCATAAGACTTTACATTTTTCATTGTAAAGTTTTTCACTCAGTTTTTAAAGAGCTCGCAATCTGGATTTTGAAAAAAAATCTTTGTTAAATGTTCAAGATTTATGCTAATCTTTGTTTTTCGTCTCCAAGATTCCTGGAATTTGAAAGATTTTTTACTGATCTTTAAGATTCTTGACTCGATTTTGCCAAACTTCAAAAAAAATATTAAGATTTTTCTAAGATTCTTTAAGATATGGCAAAGAATGCAAAAATTGCTGGTCTTGGGCAACTACAAAATCAAACGAGAAAAAAAGTTGAAATCCCACCAGAGCCAAAAAATCAATAAGAAAGCCCAGCATAAGCGATTTAACTTGATCTTGTCTGTATGTCTAAGCACCAATGCTTTTAAAAATCAGTTATGTTCTTGATCAAAAGCTTTATCATCTCAGATTGTCCTGAGCAAAAAATGCTCCAAAATGACCTTATTTGGTAATTTTTTAAAATTTGGCCTGCTTTGCAACTTCATGGAGCATTGCAGTTTGTTTGAGGCTGATTGAAATTAACGGCCAAGAATAAAGAAAATCTTAGAGGTAGAAACTGCGAGAGGAGTTGTCTACGACATTTGAACTTTATTCTTTGCCGAACCTAATTTTGCCACATTTTCGACATGAATATGCCGCCAAATTAGTAAACTGAAAGACTCAAAACTCAAAAATCAAATAAAAATCATTTAAAAAGAAACAACTAAACTACGATCTGAAATTGGAATCTTAATCATCCAAAACGTATTGCCATTGTCAGGAGTGTTGCAGACAGATAACAACGTTTTCAAAAACTCGCATTCTCAAAAATTATCAGTAGTTTGTTAACTTTGTTTTTTTTCTGATGATGATAAAACTTCGAAAAAGACAAAATAAAGGTAAGTCTACTCCGTAATTGTTTAATTGAAGTTTTAATATATACAGGCCGCAATCTAAGTGAAAAACAAACCTAACTAAAAATTCTTTCTCTCACTTGTTTTTCTCGCCATTCTGTTTCTCTTTCAAAGTTTTTGAGCAAAATAGAAGCTTCTGCAGGAACGGAAAGCACATTTTCAAACCTGTTTTGCCCTGGTTGGAGATTTGATAAATATCTGAGCCAGTCTTCTTCTTCTACGCTCGGATTCCTGTCAACCCTATATCCTATATTTTTGATGAACAAGTGCTGCAGAGCGCGTTTTAAGTGCTCCTTTAGTCAACCTGATGAGAAAATCCAGGGACTCAACCAACAGCAGTTTTCCGTGGAGAGCTGGATAACTAAATCGAAAACAGAGGCACACATACATATATTTTTTGCGAAACAGAGGAATTATGACGAAGAATATTCAGGCTGATAAGTCAACTTTCAATATTTATATCTAATTGCAATTCAGTATTTCTTGTACAAGGAAATCATAATTTGATTGTTCAATTCAATGTCAGAGGCGGAAGAGGTGTTGTGCGATGGTGGGTTCAGTTGCAGTGGGCCATGCGCAGGTATGTCTTGTTAGAGGGCACTTGCACTTTCTCGTAGTTGGGGTCTATCTTCTTCGCTTCTTCTTCAGTCGCACTGGCAACCACCATCACCTGTCAAGCGACAAACAACACATGACCTTAATCAAAAATCCACATGCCAGTTGATCTGTTAATTCAAGTATAACAATATGTTACTGCAAAAATTTATATAGCAACTATAGCCTTTTAGGTGTAGAACACAACAATGCATTTACTCTTCTAAAGACAGTTGTTGAAATGTAGAAGGCAGAATCAGAACGCCAAAACGGACCAAAAAGCGGAAATAACCATCGAGATAACTAGAAGTTGTTATAACTACCAAACTTAAACTCAAAATATACGCAAAAAAGTTAAGAAAAAAGAAAACATCAAAACCGTTCAAGAGATCAGCAGCGGATTTCCAAGTAAACGTTTGCTATCCTAATTCACTCGCGTTTCATTGGGTCTCCCCATTATTTAAAACTTCGCCTCGAATAGTTTTTGACACCGTTTGAAAATGGACAAATTTGAGACATTAAGATCTTCCAGATAGAGTACGTTGCCATGTTTAATCTGGAGTCAAAAGGTAGAAAACTTGGCAAGCTAGTGTCTCTTATGGTTCCAAGAGAACCCCAACAAAAAGGTCAACAAAACTATTTATCATAAGCCCCTATGGTCTGCCCATGAATTTGACTTTGAACTGACTGAGTTACCTTTTGGCCTTTGTTCCAGTTGGCGGGAGTGGCGACCTTCTTCTGTTGGCCCAGCTGGAGGGAATCCACCACCCGGATGAGCTCATCGAAGTTGCGCCCAGTGGAGGCCGGGTAGTAGATGAACAGTTTGATCAGATCGTCCGGACCCACAATGAACACAGCCCGGCATGTGAGAGGGAGAGATCCAGGGTTCGGCTGATTGTTCGCATCAATCATGCCTAGTGCAATCGCAACTGACCTGTCCTCGTCGCCAATGAGCGGGAACGGCAACTCCTTCAGCGAGCAGCCCGAATACTTCTCCGTATAGGCGAAGATGTCTTTGGCCCAGGCCTCGTGGTCGGCGACCGAGTCGCACGAGAGTCCGATTAGTTTCACTCCTCGCTTCGCAAACTCCTCGTGATGCTTGGCCAGCATTCCAATTTCGGTGGTGCAGACAGGCGTGAAATCTGCCGGGTGGCTGAAAAACAGCATCCAGTTGCTGCCCTTCCACTCAAGTACTTTGAAGTCGCCCTTCGTTGTTTTCACACTCAAGTTGGGGAACTTGCTTCCCAGTCTCAAATTGGGCCCCGAAGACATAATATTTCGATATGCTTTGTAGTTAGTAGATGTATAGAAGCAGGATGATCAGAACACAAATAAAAACACAATCTAAGCCTGAAAACAAAACATTTAAAATTCAAAGATACGAAATTGAAGAGTTAGATTAGCAAGAAAAAATCAGATTCAATTAGATTTATAATTGTTTATTTATCAAAACAGTGGAGCCTTACAGCAAGGAGTACAAACTATAAACCAACAGTGGGTTTAAGGGGGATTCAACTCTTGGCCACCCAAAGGGTCTCTCTTTTGTTACTACTTTACGACATCCATTTTTATGGACCAACTCTTAACTTTCTTATGGCGCCAATTATACAAAATTTGAAGGGAGAGTATGCACCATTTTTGCAGCGCTGAGTACAAATCTCAATACATTGTATTATTAAAAGTAATCACTAAAAATCACACCAAAGCTTGAAAACTCACCTGATTCAAAAACTCAACTGATTAATCTATTTTGCCGGCGATGGTTTATACATAAAAGAAATAATTTAAAGAACAGCAGAGATTTTAAAAACGAATAGTCATCGCCAAATTAATAAACTTCGTAAAAAATAAAACCTCATGCAAAACGAATGCTTCTTTTTCAACTGAAGACGCTTTTACAAACGCAAAAAAAAAACTAATCAACTGAAACCGACAATTGAGCCATTTTGTTCAAAATTGGGAAAGTGAGTCTCATTTTTAGGAATAAGGACCATGAAAGACCGGCTATATATATTTAGATATAATAACCGCCCTGAACTCCTTAATCTTCATCAGCGGCAAACACAAATTCACGCACATTATATCACTTGTGTCGGATGTTAGCACCATCAGGGGAAACGTTCTTACTAGCCAATTTCGTTCTTAAATCAATGTCTTTTTTGCTTCCAAAGTTTAGAAACGTCGTCTGGATATCCATTATCTTGATTTGCCTTTCATCTCATATTCATCGCCCACAAATAAACATAGCTGCCCAATGAAAAAAAAACAATTTAACCACTTTGATGAAATGTTGATTGAAATACAGAGGCGCCTGAAAACGGGCTGCATAGTTCCACGGCGTTCTCGTAATGAGATTTCGTTTGGTTGTATATGTAGTAAATTTTACAAGGAATGGAATCTAATTTGTCTTTATCCAGGTTAAGGAGCCTCCTTAACTCCAGCGTCCATAGCCACGAGTCTGCAGGAGTGGATGGAATAATTAAAATGATGATAAAATGTGTGTTGTGGTAGGAAATCAGTTGACAAAATGAGTAAACAGAGCAGGCTAAATGAAAGAGATAAAACTTAAAAACTGGCTCTAGCCACACCAAAGCTGGCAGAGCTTATACAGGGAGGTTCCGTGGAGGGCTGTTTGCATGAGTCAACTTTTTAGGATTGAGGGTGGGAACCAAAAAAAATCACAATAGTTTGGGATAGGTTTAATGCGGGGTTTTAAGTCATTACACAAGAACGAGGCACAGCTTCACATCACTTTCGACAGAGCAAAAAAGCACGGCAGACCAGCCGACAGACTGAGATGAAAGCCGCTCTCCCAAAATTTCAGCAACCGTAGCCGAGTGGGTTAGGCGAATGTCTCTCAACACGAGGGTCATGCGTTCGAATCCCACTTCGGTCACGGTTGGAGAGGTCCCAGTACCATCCACCTCCTCAATTTGGGACCGGTTGCGGCGAATTGGATGACATCTCCCTCACCCACGGTTGTTCCTGCACTGGGGAACGGGGGCTCATAAAAAACCCGAAAGTTCCATCAGAACAAAGCTTACGAAGATACATACACACAGGCGAGGCTGCGCCTAGCAAACACTAGCGAAATCACGACCAAAAAGCAGCTCTATGAAGTGCAATAAAAAAACGTAGAAATAAGCTTTGGATTAGTAAAAATTCGGCTACGTCTGGGATTCGATCTGTAACCTAGGGTCTCACACAGTAACCACTCAGCCACGGACGGTTAATTTCTCACTAGAACTAGCCACAAAAAACAAGAGAACAGATGCTATGAAATTTCCATTGCTACATCGTGATTATGGCAAAAGTGCCATCAAATAAGTGAACACTCATTACGAGGCCAAACTGCGCACTGGATAGGCGAACAATTTTGTGTCTGTATCTTCCTGGATTCCAGAGACAAGTCGTTGCTAAGTAATCTGCTCACAAATCAAAAATTCCCAGTTTGGCCTCGTATTGCTATTAATGAACACTTTTATCTGCAAGTTAGATTAGAAAAAAAGAAGGTTCGTACTAATACACTAACGCTCGCAATCTGGCTAGTGTATGAACACCGGTTGAGCCTCATAACTCACATAATATTTTTTTTGCGCATCAAACGACGTAATAGTATGCTACTAACACGAAACCTTTAGAGCAGAAAAAAACAATTAATGCAAAAAAACTAATTCTAAATCGGAGTTGGTAAAATTACAATCAAAATGACGAGCAAATTTCGAACTGAATGAGTGTCTAAAAATCAGATATGCTTAAAATATGCCTGTTGGCTTACAGAAGTACAAAATTGAGAAAAGGATTCATTGATTTTGCTGAAATAAAAATACGATTACTGGAGAAAGCCTATGTTCCGAATTAATAATGCTTGATAATCGGAAGCGTACCGACTTTTGTCGATTAAGAAACGTTTTTAAGGTCATTGATTGCAGGGAAAGTTCGACTGAAAAAATAATTTCCCTTCAAAAAAGCTTCAAATATAAGCACGTACTAGACGAAGGGATGGAGGATGTGCGTAAAAATAGTTATTTGGATGATGGGTAAGGTATGTCGAGATAAAACTCGGAAATAAAATAGTGACCTGAGCTGGTAATTAACCGGAAAGTCTTGAGTAACCTCAACATCCAATTTTAATACAAGCACGGTAGTTTTTCACGGAAATCTTTAGCGGCAATGTGACCAGGCACGGGGAGCATAGTCTAACAAGGGGCAGATTAAGGTTTTATACGTTTGAAAATGCATCAATTAGATAGGCCCAGAATGATTCGGTTAGAGTCTTCAGGATTCCTACTCCTCAACGTCTGGCTTTGTCAGAGGACTGTTTGAAGTGAGTGGCAAACTGTAAAGTTATCGCGATTACAATGAGACTAGTGAGATCTTCCTTTTTATGCAAATTAGTAGCAATTTGCTTCTATGCCATATGAAACAAAAAGTTTTTTCAATGCCAGTAGAGATATCTAAGAAAATAACAAGTGCAGCGAGAACTTACTTTCAATTCAATTTCTGCTATTTTTGAGCCACACACTCAGAATCCGGTTGAATGGAGCAATAATAAAGCACGCGTTAGCCGAGTGTATTCTAAATAGAACTGAAACTTAAGGTTTCGCGGAAGCAAAGAAAGATTAAATTTGAACTTGAATTTAATTAATTGATATGTAAACGAAGTAAAATAGTACTTAATTGCTGTTGAATAGGGTACGTTAGCAAGTAGTGATATATGAAACATGTAGCCTACTTAACAATGCTTAAAATGCTGGATAAGACTATCCGATAGGGTTCAAGTTTGATCAACCATGCACCTGATTGTCCTGTTGCCAATGCCCCTCCCTGCAAAGTAATGTTGAGCTAACTATGATACTGAAAACTTTGAGCAAACTTCTGAAGCCAGCTGTACAGTTTGCGATCTGCAGACATTTTTTCTTAAGGTAGTTCCGACCACACTCGACGGGTGTTTTTATTTTCAAACTGATTTGACTTATCAACTGCAGCAAAAAAATCAGCAAAAGGTTGTGCTTGAATAGCTCTGAAACCGCAAAACTGAAAAAGAATATTTGAAGCTAATAGGGAAATTTTTGGGACCAATAACCTCAATTCAGTTAGGAATGATTATTTGAACCAAGGGCTCCCCCCAACCCTCAGGGATTCAACCACCTGCCGACCCAAAGGATCCCCCTTTATACTATTTTGAGATATCCATTTTTGGCTAACGGACCCTAAAACTTTTCTAAAATGGTAATTTTTAGGGGGAGCGCGCGGCAGAGCTCGGAAAATCAATTCGGTCGACCTAAAAAAAAGTCGACAAAACTTTCGATTTTTTTGAAAATCCGCCCCCCTCCCCCTCGAGAAAATCCTAAATCCGCCCCTGATTTGAACTGTTTGAAATGATTCGTTCTACGTGTAATACGTCTTACGTGTTATTACGACTGAATGCGCGATGTTACAAGCTAATACATGCAGAAAAAATGTGTTAAAAAATCGCTGGAGCTTAAGTTTTCGGTATTTTCAAAGGGTATAAAAATATTCCTCACGAAATTTTTTTCGCTGATTTTAGCAGAAAACTTTGAATTGAAGTGTGCGAATTTGGTTGAACCAAAAAGCGGACTGACGAGGCAGTAAAGGGTTTAGATCTTGATTCATCAAAAAATTCACTTCTTTGAATCGATTATGGAGGTGCCGATAAATTCAAGTTTGAACCAGGAAGGAGAATAGTAACTTAACTTATTTTGGTAGCTTTGAGAAATGTAAAAGATGTTGGATCCGGTTAGTCTGATTAGTTGCTTGTCCTGAACTCTAACAATGAAATATTACGTGAAAATACGGGAAGGCAACGCGCCATTGAAAATTTTGTCGATCTTTTTTTTAGGTGAGCTCTCCCAATATTAAGGAAATTAGACCCTACAAAGACCCTATATTGAGGAAATTTTCTGCGCCGCAGGCCAAAAAAGTGTTTTTAGGCACTTATTGGAAAATTTCTACCAAAATATCGCATGTTTTCGGCGTGCGCTCCCCTCTAAAAATTAGTATAGATTGGCGATTAGATCCAAAACTGGATATCTCAAATCTCAAAATAGTACAAAGGGTCAGCAGGGGGTCGAATCCCTGGGTGGGGGACGACCCCCTCCTCTCCCCTAAATCCACTACTGATGATATCAGTCAATTTTTGTCAAATATTTAAAATCATTACACAGAGGTGCGAGAACTTAGGGGTGGAGGCGGACTTTGAACCTTTTTTAGCGGGAACGGGCTATTAAAAAAAATGCCCATTTTTGACCTGTTCTTTCAAAAATTTGTCTGCCGCGCAGAAAATTTGATAAAAATAGGGTCTTTATAATGATATTCGAGAGCTCGGAAAATCAATTTAGTCAACCTAAAAAAATTTCAAATAAGTTTTTGAAAATCACCCCCCCCCCCCCCATTAGAGAAAATCCTAGATTTCCTCCCACCCGTCCCTGAATATACACAAAAAAAACATGAATCACAGTTCTTTTTACGCCTGTTACAATTTGTGCACCACTCAGAGCTCGGTTCAAGCCTTTACAGATTGGGATGTGACTGATCAAAACTTTTCTTAAATTTAGGAAATCTTATTTGCTTGTTGGATGCTTAATTCATCCAATTTTATTAAGATAATAAATTTTCAATTTCTCAGAAATGCAAGTTTCAATTTGAAAGGATTGTTATTGTATTTCAGAGAAATAAAGCTATCAAAATTATGCTAGTCGATACATTTTCAGGTTTTCGAACTTTTATGCTAGTCGAGCGGTCACCGCACAAATCAACTTTTGCCTTTCAAACGAGACAATTTGGGGTGACTAAAACTATACAATATAAGCCGGACGGTTATAAGCAGAAACGTTTTAGGTTGAAAAGAACAAAAAATTAAACCAGAAACTGTTTTTACATCGCAGATGATAATCTCTCAAAGAGGCAAAACACCTCCGAAAAAAACACACAAGGATGAATATCTATTTTTGCTTCAAATGACGCAAATTTAGTTCACCAAGCTGTTAAAACATATATCGAAACATTAGAGGCCAAATTAATTTTTAGTGAGATTTAAAAAAAATGTAAACTAGAGATTATAATTTTTTCTAGAGATTATAATTTACAGGAATACATCAAAACACTTTCAACAACAATGCAAATTACTTTAAGAACGAAAAAATTACCCTTGTGGCAAGTAAGCCGACAACAAATAAACAGACAAACAAAAGACCGACAATTTTTCTTAATAGGCGTTTCGTTTCCGTCCAAAAAAAACAGACCCTGGCCAGAATTGAACCTAGGACGTTTGCCCTCCCAGGCGCAGTTGTAACGCCTAGAAGAACAAGTTCGCCAGAGAAGCAAAGAAAACTATATTCATTACAAACTAACCTATCGAACTATTAGAGTGATTCTGTAAAACACGTTTTTAACCCAAAAAAGTCTAAATTCCGTTTTGGAAAGGCTTTTTAAACGCAAGCGTAAATATTGTTTATGATTGGCATGTTTTTCGTTAATTTATTCATTTAAAAAAATAGATTATTAGATATTTTAACTCCGGTTTTTAAATGAAAGCCATTCACGTTTTTGCGACCTTTTCACTCGCTGTTCGATAGTAGATTTTGCCTTCCTTTTAACTGCAAAAAAATCAAATTTGAGCGTCAACAAATTTTATGACTTTTAAAAGCAAAAAAAAATAATTCAGACCTACCTATATATGAAAAAATTACTTCTTTCTTTTAAATTATTACAATCTTTACAAAGAGCAACGTTCCCTTTTCGAAACGCAATTTTTCAAAAATACTCACTCTCCAAAATCCATAAATTAATGGAATAATTTCCACAAAAGTATCGGCAAAAATAAATTTTGTTTTTCGACAATTTCTTAATATTCGTTATAACTGATTACCCTTAGCTTATTGCTTCAAAGGAGGAACGTCATGCTAACATTTGCCCACCACCTGCATTAGAGCATAACATGTTTTCTTATTTAGTAAATGAAGTGAACTCGAACAAATATTTTAAAAAAAAACAGCCAAATTAAAAAGCTCAAACTAATCAATTCTCAAAACTAAACTGAAAACTTGCGAATTACATATACGAAAACTCGTTCCGTTCATCAACAGTTAAAAAGCATTGTCGAAAGTTGTTCAATTAGCTCAATGTATACATAGCTAAATGCATATTTGCAACAAAAGGTAATAAGCGAGCTAAAACGCCAAAAAAAACTATTTTTACAACACAGAGGTAAAACTGAGAGGCGCACCACTTGCGATACAAAAATGAAGGACTAAAAAATCAAATGAAAAACAAATTCGAAAAACCGTTTTTGTCAATAAAAAATGCAACAAAAGCTCAAAAAATCTAGAAAATATTACCTGCACCATTAGAAACTCTACAAAGAGCTTTGGTAATGCTATAAAAACGCCAAGTTTTCAAAAAAGTCCTTTCTGCGCAAATAAGCAGATAAAATTAAGCATACAGAAAATAACCTAAATTAGCCAACATTTTTTATTTGCATTTTTTATTCGCGCTACGTCATCTCAAGCATGAGGGCTACAGCAACTTCGAATAAAACTGAACCATCGAGCTACGACGGGAACTAAGCCGACAAAAACAAACAGACCGACGATAGTCCGAAAAGCACACATACTCTAGTTTGTAAAAAAAAGGGCCCGGCTGGATTCGAACCGCAAATCTTCGAACCGCACCTCTTAGACAGATGTGCCGGATGGTTGATTGGTTTTGAATTTAACAGAGCCAACTGACAGTTGGAAAAAAGTAATGAACGCAATTAAACTGAAACAAAACCGGACTTATTATTATTTTTTCAAAAATCTTCAACTTTTGAATTTCGAAGAAAAAAGTAGATGGCTTTAAAGCTCTTTAAATGTGTAGAACAATTAATTTCCATTTTGGAAAGTAGAAGACGATCAAGTTTTTCGTGGCCTTTACATTTTTGCTGTTCAACACCGTAGTGGATTTTATCTTCCTCTTAAGAATGGATATGCACTGAACTTAAAAAAAACAGCAAGAACTATATAAAACCTCACTATTTCATTATTGCTTAAAGAGGGCATTATACCTAAGCTTTACAGAAGAAGTTAAATTGAGCTCAATAACAATTATACCTTAATGGGTTGAAAATGCTATGTTATGAATGAACATCTGAAAAAAAACTTAAAAATATCACCCCGACCTATACTTAAGTCTTCACATTTAGTACAGAAAAGTTATGCATGTGAACTTGAACACACAAAAAAACAGGGATAACCAGTTACTGTGCATGTAGCGCAGAATGTTCCGAACAAAACCTTAAAACATACAAATTTTTTTTCTTCAAATGTCGATTTTTTGCTACATGGTGTGATAAAAAAGATCTGAATGAAAAAAAAACTTAAGCATATTTGACTGTCATATTAAAAAAAGCCATTCGGAAAAACAATTTTTGAAGAAAATTGACTAGAAAAGCAAAAAAACGTATACTGTGGGGGAAGACCTTTCGACTGCATATTTGTGCGTTTCAGGAAAATATTTTTAAAAAGTTTGCAGAAATTTTTAGAATTTGTAAACTTTCTTAACAAAATGGCGCTGAAAAAGTCAAAAAACTATTTTGTTTGAGTACAATCAAAATTTCACGGTTTAAAGTAAGCTTAAATAAGCTATTGTAAGACTACACGCTCACACCCTATTTATTCGAAATTAGAACAAAAATCATCAAACCGGTTTTTCTCGACACTGAAAAAATTTTTGAAATTTTTAAATGTCGCTCGAATCACAATTAAAAGGGGCTTCAAAATGATGTATCACTGGACCCATTCTGATAAAGATTTGTGATACCTGATTTTGCGTGGAAAACAAAAAGAAAAAAAACCAACACACCCGAATACAAAAAACTAAAACACACCCGAATACAAAGTGCCTCCCCATTTTTCAAACGCTCGAAACAATAAGGCTGAAAAAAAATTTCCTACATTTGTCGCGGATAATGTTATTAAACAGCCCAAGCAAGCATTCAAAACCGAGAGGCATCTATAGCGAAAAACTTGGGTCGAACCTCGTTCAGGCAAAAATGAAACTGTTGACAAAAATGATACTTATGCTATAAATTTCTCCTGAAACAAGCAAAAGCATTGCCAAAAAATCGACCTTGAAACTGCCCTTTACAAGTTGAACTAGCCGATATAACAAACTGAACCCGTTCAACCAAAAAATAAAATTTTTCAAATCAGAGTTGTTATTTTTCAAATTACTGTAGTTATCAAATATAGCAAAACCAGTTTGCACAAAAAATGAAAAACCTACAATTTGGAAACATGGAGTACTATGACATGGAGTCAAATGAGCCCTGTGGACAAAGTTGTTTAGGTAAAAAAGTCTAGTACCCGATTGCAATACTCCTTCTATCTCAAGGGTAAAAAAAATCGAAAATTTTCTTAAAGTTTATTACAGAGGGCTTAAGAGAGTGAGTTTGATTGTTCGGAAAATTCTCAAGTTCAATTGCTTTCGTTCTAATACCATCGAAAATTAAAAGAACAAAAACATTACAAAGTTAGCCGACGGAAACGAAGCCGACAGACCTCAAAGCCGAAAACCAATTGAAAACTTTCGGAACAGATAAAATCTACTTTATAATCTCCCTTAACGTTCAACCAAGGTACATATGCAGTTAATACACTCCAAAGATGCTACTAATTCGTCTTGATATAAAACATACTGATTACCATTCGACCATTCTGTGAACAAAATTATTTTATTTGAACGAAAAAGTCTAGTACCCGCTTGCAATACCTTTGGTTATCGCAATGCTAAAAAAGCATTGGAAAAAAGTCAAAAAAAAATTCCAACGAAAATTTTATAAGTTTGCCTCGAATGATGTTTAATATGAGAAACATGCAAGAAAAACTGCAAGCGTTGGATGAGCATCCGGAAAACTCACAAAGCGGCAAGCAAGCCGTCAACAGACTAAGTCGGAAAAAAAAACAGAAACAAAAACCGTTTAAGCAAAAAAGTATATTCAAGCGACAAAAAAGCAGACTAACGATAATCGGATAATTAAATTTCTCAAAAAAAAACAATTTATGAAGAACTACCTTCTGGCCAGAATCAATTCCATTAACTGTGGGCCTACGCATGGACGTTCTCTTCACACTAAACAGGTCAAATTGGTACCTCGAATTTGTTATTCTAATAAAAAAAGCTGAGAAAATGAATCAGTGATTTTATTAAGCAAGTCGTTAACCTGAAAAAGTCTGTATTCCGATTTGTTAATCGCAAGTGTAATTAAGCATTGCATGTCCTAATCTACCTCAAAGCTACTTCTCCAGCCGACTGAAGGAACTTGAATTGATAATAATTAAGGAATAAGGATTTATTGAATTCATTTCTTTATTTGAGACTGGGAATTAAACAACAGTGACCTGTTTAGCGGTACTATAACAACTCAGTGATAACTGACAATAAGTGTAAACAATTTAAAAACATCTTTTATCTCTCCTTCTACTTGTAGAATAAAATTAGATCTAAATTAGAACTCGAACGGGTTGTTTTCGTCTTTCTGTTCAAATTAATTTTAAGCGTATTTTCTTCTACTTTCTTCCGTATTTCTCCAACTCTCTGCTCTTCGCCTATGGTTTTCTGTGGTTTTATGACGCAAGCACTAGTGCCTAATTCTATTAAATCACACTTCCTTTTCTGCTCTCCCCCATTTTTTGTTGTTCACGTTCTATAATAATCTCTTCGTTCGGGGGGGGGGGGGGAGCGGGGGGCTGTCATTCGGTCTTGTAGTCGTCCAGGGGACTCTTCGTCTTCGACTTGCCCTCCTCTGTCTTGTTGTTCTCAAACAGGAATGACACACACCCGCTCATCATCTGCGAGAACCTACACAAATGAACTTCGCACTCTAAAAGCGATTATGATGGTTTTTCAATGGTACCGTACCAGCTCCCTCAACACACAAAAAAACAAATTTAGCCAACAAGCAGTTGGAGTAGTGTCAATCAACTCCAGGAAAACAAAACAATTAATTAAATATATGTTGAAGCTCTCTAAATTTCAAAAATATTTGAAATCAGCACTTTTTTCATGAAAGCAGCCCAATTAGAGAAAACTCGATCAATAGACAATTTAATCATTTTGCTGGGAAATCTAAAAAACTTAAATCCCCCTTTCGAACCTAAAAAATCCTTCATATTTTGCGCGTCATTTCCGCTTCCATAATTGAAGAGCATAATTTGCCTTCCTTTTAGCGAATGAATTAATTAAGTAGAAATCGGAGAAAATCAAATTCTTAAAGAAAACAAAACGAAAAAAATCATCGAAAAAAACGAAAAAAAAGCGTTCATTGATAGTTAAAAACAGTGCAATAATTCAAAAATTACGTCACTAGGACAAAAATTACAAAAAATATTGGGATGAAGATAGCAAATAAAATAACTGAAAGTACTTTTGGAAAATATCCCTAACGTCATTTATTGGTTCGATATCATTATATTGACATGAAAAAATTCGGATGTACAATATTTGCGAGGGGCAATACAATTGATTGTAACCAAGGATCATTTAAACAATCCACAACGGCAAAAGAAGGATAATTGTAAGTGGGACGAGATTGGCAATACTTGACTATTCCATTAGTTCACATCTTAAGGGTGGGTATTAGTTACAGGTGCCATAGGCGAGGAGAGTGAGAGGTGAGAGAAAGAGAGAGGGGGGGGGGGGTGATAAGTAAGAGTAGTTGTGGTGGTTGTAGACTTGCCAGAATAGATTGAGTGTGGATATTGTGGTGAACATGAGAAGGAGGGGGAGGGTGAATGTCTTGTCAGTGCACATGGCCACACTGTTGTCTAGGAGGTAGCAGTCCACGTAGATGTAGAATATGTAGGGCATCGGAATCAGTCTACACAATCTGAAACAACCAATCACACATCACATCACACGCCACAAAAACATTGTGCATCATAGTTCTCAACAGAGAACTTCATTTTGAAAAAAACCCAGTCTTTAAAACTTATATTGTAGCAGTTTTTCCGGCCCATAACTGCTCCAGAAAAAAAAACAAAAGAGCATTAAATCCAAAATTTTCGAGCTCACTTTCATTAGGCTATTTGGCTATGTGTAACGTCAGCTTGGGTCTAACATTTCGTCGACAATTTTTCGAGCCAAATAATTTCGTTTGTTTAGTTAAGAGCAGTTTAGCTTTTTACATTCTACGAGAAACGTACAAGCAGTGAAAAAAATTGAACAAAAATGACAAAATGACGTTTAAAAACAGAGTTAACTTATGCCAATGAAAATGACAAAAAGTACCGATGAATGATGGATGTGTTGTACTACTAACATGAAAGTGGCAATCCATAGGGCACATAAAATGACGAAGAGGATGGAGTTGTCTAGATTGTAGCCCACGTGTTGGAGGAGGAAGACTGCATTGGTGAAGGGGTTGGACAGCTCCATGAACACACTGCCCACATTCGCGACCAACACATTCTCAATCGGCATCGTCAACAAGATGCTACAACACAACACATACACATTATGAACACACTGCCTACATTCGCGACCCACATTCTCAACCGGCATAGTCAACAAGATGCTACAACACAACACATACACATTATGAACACACTGCCTACATTCGCGACCAACACATTCTCAATCGGCATCGTCAACAAGATGCTACAACACAACACATACACATTATGAACACACTGCCCACATTCGCGACCAACACATTCTCAATCAGCATCGTCGACAAATGCTACAACACAACACAACACATACACATCATGAACACACTGCCCACATTCGCGACCAACATATTCTCAATCGGCATCGTCAACAAGATGCTACAACACAACACATACACATTATGAACAAACTGCCCACATTCGCGACCAACACATTCTCAATCGGCATCGTCAACAAGATGCTACAACACAACACATACACATTATGAACACACTGCCTACACTCGCGACCAACACATTCTCAATCGGCATCGTCTACAAGATGCTACAACACAACACATACACATTGTGAACACACTGCCTACATTCGCGACCCACATTCTCAACCGGCATAGTCAACAAGATGCTACAACACAACACATACACATTATGAACACACTGCCTACATTCGCGACCAACACATTCTCAATCGGCATCGTCAACAAGATGCTACAACACAACACATACACATTATGAACACACTGCCCACATTCGCGACCAACACATTCTCAATCAGCATCGTCGACAAATGCTACAACACAACACAACACATACACATCATGAACACACTGCCCACATTCGCGACCAACATATTCTCAATCGGCATCGTCAACAAGATGCTACAACACAACACATACACATTATGAACAAACTGCCCACATTCGCGACCAACACATTCTCAATCGGCATCGTCAACAAGATGCTACAACACAACACATACACATTATGAACACACTGCCTACATTCGCGACCCACATTCTCAACCGGCATAGTCAACAAGATGCTACAACACAACACATACACATTATGAACACACTGCCTACATTCGCGACCAACACATTCTCAATCGGCATCGTCAACAAGATGCTACAACACAACACATACACATTATGAACACACTGCCCACATTCGCGACCAACACATTCTCAATCAGCATCGTCGACAAATGCTACAACACAACACAACACATACACATCATGAACACACTGCCCACATTCGCGACCAACATATTCTCAATCGGCATCGTCAACAAGATGCTACAACACAACACATACACATTATGAACAAACTGCCCACATTCGCGACCAACACATTCTCAATCGGCATCGTCAACAAGATGCTACAACACAACACATACACATTATGAACACACTGCCTACACTCGCGACCAACACATTCTCAATCGGCATCGTCTACAAGATGCTACAACACAACACATACACATTGTGAACACACTGCCTACATTCGCGACCAACACATTCTCAATCGGCATCGTCAACAAGATGCTACAACACAACACATACACATTATGAACACACTGCCCACATTCGCGACCAACACATTCTCAATCAGCATCGTCGACAAGATGCTACAACACAACACAACACTTACACATCATGAACACACTGCCCACATTCGCGACCAACACAATCTCAATCGGCATCGTCAACAAGATGCTACAACACAACAAATACACATTATGAACAAACTGCCCACATTCGCGACCAACACATTCTCAATCGGCATCGTCAACAAGATGCTACAACACAACACATACACATTATGAACACACAGCCCACATTCGCGACCAACACATTCTCAATCGGCATCGTCAAAAAGATGCTACAACACAACACATACATTATGAACACCTTGCCCACATTTGCGACCAACACATTCTCAATCGGCATCGTCAACAAGATGCTATAACACAACACATAAACATTATGAACACACTGCCCACATTCGCGACCAACACATTCTCAATCGGCATCGTCATCAAGATGCTACAACACAACACATACACATTATGAACACACTACCCACATTCGCGACCAACACATTCTCAATCGGCATTGTCAACAAGATGCTACAACACAACACATACACATTATGAACACACTGCCCACATTCGCGACCAACACATTCTCAATCGGCATCGTCAACAAGATGCTATAACACAACACATAAACAATATGAACACACTGCCCACATTCGCGACCAACACATTCTCCATTCGCGACCAACACATTCTCAATCGGCATCGTCAACAAGATGCTACAACACAACACATACACATACACATTATGAACACACTACCCACATTCGCGACCAACATATTTTCAATCGGCATCGTCAACAAGATGCTACAACATAACACATACACATAATGAACACACTGCCCACATTCGCGACCAAATAATTCTCAACCGGCATCATCAACAAGATGCTACAACACAACACATACACATAATGAACGCACTGCCCACATTCGCCACCAACACAATCTCAATCGGCATCGTCGACAAGATGCTACAACAAAACACATACACACAATGAACACACTGCCCACATTCGCGACTAACACATTCTCAATCGGCATCGTCGACAAGATGCTACAACGCAACACAACACATACACATTATGAACACACTGCCCACATTCGCGACCAACATATTCTCAATCGGCATCGTCAACAAGATGCTACAACACAACACATACACATCATGAACACACTGCCCACATTCGAGACCAACACATTCTCAATCGGCATCGTCATTAAGATGCTACAACACAACACATACACATTATGAACACACTGCCCATATTCGCGACCAACACATTCTCAATCGGCATCGTCAACAAGATGCTACAACACAACACATACACATTATGAACACATTGCCCACGTTCGCGAACAACACATTCTCGATCGGCATCGTCAACAAGATGCTACAACAAAACACATACACATAATGAACACACTACCCACATTCGTGACCAATATATTTTCAATCGGCATCGTCAACAAGATGCTACAACACAACACAAACACATAACGAACACACTGCCTACAATCGCGACCAAATAATTCTCAACCGGCATCGTCAACAAGATGCTACAACGCAACACAACACATAAACATTAGGAACACACTGCCCACATTCGCCACCAACACAATCTCAATCGGCATCGTCGACAAGATGCTACAACAAAACACATACACATAATGAACACACTGCCCACATTCGCGACCAACACATTCTCAATCGGCATCGTCAACAACATGCTACAACACAACACATACACATTATGAACACACTGCCCACATTCGCGACTAACACATTCTCAATCGGCATCGTCGACAAGATGCTACAACGCAACACAACACATACACATCATGAACACACTTCCCACATTCGCGACCAACACATTCTCAATCGGCATCGTCAACAAGATGCTACAACACAACACATACACATTATGAACACACTGCCCACGTTCGCGACCAACACATTCTCGATCGGCATCGTCAACAAGATGCTACAACAAAACACATAAACATAATGAACACACTACCCACATTCGCGACCAACATATTTTCAATCGGCATTGTCAACAAAATGCTACAACACAACAGATACACATAATGAACACACTGTCCACATTCGCGACCAAATAATTCTCAACCGGCATCGTCAACAAGATGCTACAACGCAACACAACACATACACATTAGGAACGCACTGCCCACATTCGCCACCAACACAATCTCAATCGGCATCGTCGACAAGATGCTACAACAAAACACATACACATAATGAACACACTGCCCACATTCGCGACCAACACATTCTCAATCGGCATCGTCAACAACATGCTACAACACAACACATACACATTATGAACACACTGCCCACATTCGCGACTAACACATTCTCAATCGACATCGTCGACAAGATGCTACAACGCAACACAACACATACACATTATGAACACACTGCCCACATTCGTGACCAATATATTTTCAATCGGCATCGTCAACAAGATGCTACAACACAACACAAACACATAACGAACACACTGCCTACATTCGCGACCAAATAATTCTCAACCGGCATCGTCAACAAGATGCTACAACGCAACACAACACATACACATTAGGAACACACTGCCCACATTCGCCACCAACACAATCTCAATCGGCATCGTCGACAAGATGCTACAACAAAACACATACACATAATGAACACACTGCCCACATTCGCGACCAACACATTCTCAATCGGCATCGTCAACAATATGCTACAACACAACACATACACATTATGAACACACTGCCCACATTCGCGACTAACACATTCTCAATCGGCATCGTCGACAAGATGCTACAACGCAACACAACACATACACATCATGAACACACTGCCCACATTCGCGACCAACACATTCTCAATCGGCATCGTCAACAAGATGCTACAACACAACACATACACATTATGAACACACTGCCCACGTTCGCGACCAACACATTCTCGATCGGCATCGTCAACAAGATGCTACAACAAAACACATAAACATAATGAACACACTACCCACATTCGCGACCAACATATTTTCAATCGGCATCGTCAACAAAATGCTACAACACAACAGATACACATAATGAACACACTGCCCACATTCGCGACCAAATAATTCTCAACCGGCATCGTCAACAAGATGCTACAACGCAACACAACACATACACATTAGGAACGCACTGCCCACATTCGCCACCAACACAATCTCAATCGGCATCGTCGACAAGATGCTACAACAAAACACATACACATAATGAACACACTGCCCACATTCGCGACCAACACATTCTCAATCGGCATCGTCAACAACATGCTACAACACAACACATACACATTACGAACACACTGCCCACATTCGCGACTAACACATTCTCAATCGACATCGTCGACAAGATGCTACAACGCAACACAACACATACACATTATGAACACACTGCCCACATTCGCGACCAACATATTCTCAATCGGCATCATCGACAAGATGCTACAACACAACACATACACATCATGAACACACTGCCCACATTCGCGACCAACACATTCTCATTCGGCATCGTCTACAAGATGCTACAACACAACACATATACATTATGAACACACTGCCCACGTTCGCGACCAACACATTCTCGATGGGCATCGTCAACAAGATGCTACAACAAAACACATACACATAATGAACACACTACCCACATTCGCGACCAACATATTTTCAATCGGCATCGTCAACAAGATGCTACAACACAACACATACACATAATGAACACACTGCCCACATTCGCGACCAAATAATTCTCAACCGGCATCGTCAACAAGATGCTACAATGCAACACAACACATACACATTATGAACGCACTGCCCACATTCGCCACCAACACAATCTCAATCGGCATCGTCGACAAGATGCTACAACAAAACACATACACATAATGAACACACTGCCCACATTCGCGACCAGCACATTCTCAATCGGCATCGTCAACAACATGCTACAACACAACACATACACATTATGAACACACTGCCCACATTCGCGACCAACACATTCTCAATCGGCATCGTCAACAAGATGCTACAACACAAAACATACACATTATGAACACACTGCCCACGTTCGCGACCAACACATTCTCGATCGGCATCGTCAACAAGATGCTACAACAAAACACATAATGAACACACTGCCCACATTCGCGACCAACACATTCTCAATCGGCATCGTCAACAAGATGCTACAACACAACATATACACAAAATAAACACTGCCCAAACTCGCCACCAACACAATCTCAATCGGCATCGTCAACAAGATGCTACAACACAATACATACACATTATGAACACACTGCCCACATTCGCCAGCAACTGATTCTCAATCGGCATCCTCAAAAAGATGCTACAACACAACACATACACATAATTAACACACTGCCCACATTCGCGACCAAAACATTCTCCATCGGCATCGTCAACAAGATGCTTCAACACAACACAAACACATAATGAACACCGCCCAAATTCGCCAACAACACATTCTCAATCAGCATCGTCAACAAGATGCTACAACACAACACATACACATAATGATCACTGCCCAAATTCGCCACCAACACATTCTCAATCGGCATCATCAACAAGATGCTACAACACAACACATACACATTAAGAACACACTGCCCACATTCGCCACCAACACATTCCCAATCGGCATTGTCAACAAGATGCTACAAAACAACACATACACATAATGAACACACGGCCCACATTCGCGACCAACACATTCTCAATCGGCATCGTCAACAAGATGCTACAACACAACACATACACATAATGAACACAATGCCCACATTCGCGACCAACACATTCTCAATCGGCATCGTCAACAAGATGCTACAACTCAACATATACACAAAATAAACACTGCCCAAACTCGCCACCAACACATTCTCAATCGGCATCGTCAACAAGATGCTACAACACAATACATACACATTATGAACACACTGCCCACATTCGCCAGCAACTGATTCTCAATCGGCATCCTCAATAAGATGCTACAACACAACACATACACATAATTAACACACTGCCCACATTCGCGACCAAAACATTCTCCATCGGCATCGTCAACAAGATGCTTCAACACAACACAAACACATAATGAACACTGCCCAAATTCGCCAACAACACATTCTCAATCAGCAGCGTCAACAAGATGCTACAACACAACACATACACATAATGAACACACTGCCCACATTCGCAACCAACACATTCTCAATCGGCATCATCAACAAGATGCTACAACACAACACATACACATTATGAACACACTGCCCACATTCGCCACCAACACATTCCCAATCGGCATCGTCAACAAGATGCTACAAAACAACACATACACATAATGAACACACGGCCCACATTCGCGACCAACACATTCTCAATCAGCATCGTCAACAAGATGCTACAGCACAACACATACACATAATAAACACTGCCCAAATTCGCCATCAACACTTTCTCAATCAGCATGGTCAACAAGATGCTACAACAACACATACACATAAAGAACACTTCCCAAATTCGCCACCAACACATTCTCAATCGGCATCGTCAACAAGATGCTAAAACAAAACACACACATATTATGAACACACTGCCCACATTCGCCACCAACAATTCTCAATCGGCATCGTCAACAAGATGTTACAACTCAGCACATACATATAATGAACACACTGCCCACATTCGCGACCAACACATTCTCAATCGGCATCGTCAACAAGATGCTACAACACAACACATACACATAATGAACACACTCTCCACATTCGCGACCAACACATTCTCAATCGGCATGGTCAACAAGATGCTACAACACAACACAAACACATAACGAACACTGCTCAAATTAGCCACCAACACATTCTCAATCGGCATCGTCAACAAGATGCTACAACACAACACAACACATACATTATGAACACACTGCCCACAGTCGCCACCAACACATTCTCGATCGGCATCGTCAACAAGATGCTACAACACAACACATACACATAATGAACACACTGCCCGCATTCGCGACCAACACATTCTCAATCGGCATGGTCAACAAGATGCTACAACACAACACAAACACATAACGAACACTGCTCAAATTAGCCACCAACACATTCTCAATCGGCATCGTCAACAAGATGCTACAACACAACACATACATTATGAACACACTGCCCACAGTCGCCACCAACACATTCTCAATGGGGATAGTCAACAAGATGCTACAACACAACACATACACATAATGAACACACTGCCCACATTCGCGACCAACACATTCTCAATCGGCATCGTCAACAAGATGCTACAACACAACAGATACACATTATGAACACACTGCCCAAATTCGCCACCAAGACATTCTCAATCGGCATCGTCAACAAGATGCTACAACACAACACATACACATAATGAACACACTGCCCACATTCGCGACCAACACATTCTCAATCGGCATCGTCAACAAGATGCTACAACACAACACATACACATTATGAACACACTGCCCACGTTCGCCACCAACATTTTCTCTATCGGCATTGTCAACAAAATCTACAACACAACTGCCCTAAAATTACTACTAGCTTCCTGTAACAACAACTTGAAATACTCCTGTAAAAAGAAGTTTTTGAACTCCAAATTTCCCCCGATGCACAGAAACGCATAAAGATAGCCGGCAGGCAGTTGAAAGAGTGTCAATAAACTCAAAATTAACATGAAAGACAGAATAATTTTGAATTGTTTTCGAAGAACAAAACTGATGACGTTAGAACTCTTGGAACTAAAAATCTTTGATAATTGACAATTGTTTGATAAGACTAACCCAATACTTAAAAATTGCACCAATAGATAATTATTTCATTCAAATGTATTTAGACAATTCACTATAATTTAACCCCGAGAGAACAGCAAACGGACCCAGTAGGGTCTCAAAACGCTGCCCTAAACTAGCATAATAATTTTATTTATAATCGCCAACATTCATTACATTACCTAAAAACACAATCTAAATACACGATAAATTAAATCGTCCAAATGCATTTCCAAAACTATTTTTTTTACTTCAAAAGACGCAAAATGAGCCAACTAAAAAGATAAGAGCCAACATAATGAAAATTCCACCTGAATTCGAACGCCGCCCTTTGTCGTCCCAAGAACGGTCGTTACCTGTGCGCCAAATGGGCAAAATCAGTCATTAGAGTCGAATTTAGAATGGGGCAAGTTTAAGCACGTAACCTCTCACGTGAAAATTTTGTGAACCAAGTTTTTAACGGGGAAAAAAGAAATACCAGGTTGCAATACCCCTGCTAATTGCAATATAATTACAATGTATCACTCAACTTTTAGTTTGTTTGAGGTACCTCAATTTATAAGAAAAGAAAACAGCCGATTTCACAGAAAGCAGAGGAACCAAAGTTCTTTCCGAGCTCCTGGTCTGGTCTGGAGAGGAATTTTGACTTGCCTGATGGCTATGATGGACACTGTATGATGACCAATCCACACTCTGATCTTGGGAGAGAGGAAGCCCTCGTGGTAGATGCAGAAGAGCATGTGAGACAATAGGTAGCAGATGAGGATCTGGCAGGCACTCTGGAACCATGGATACTCGTGTATGTCCTCACTGTTCGCCAGAGACACACAAGAACACACACTCACTAGAGCAGACATGATCAAAGACATGCTGCACTCAGTCACGTCGAACATCTTCATCGGCTTCAACTCCCCCAGACACTAAAGAAAACACGGCAAATTAAAAATGATAATATCTTGTACAAAAAGTAAAGTCCTTCATCCTCTAGCCTAAGTACTTCTTCGCGTGGAACAAAGCGATGCGTTGCAGCCATTTCATTAAACATAATGAATATAGAAACAATGTGCCGTTTTGCAGAAATGCAAAAAAGTTCCAACTTATCAATAAAACTGTCAAAAACTTCAAGCATTTTCAAGTTATCAGTGTGTCTCACTTTGCTCTCATAAAACTACAAACAAAGCAAAGCGAGAGAAGGAAGGCTGAACTTCCATTAAGCACTTCCGTCATCAATGAAAGAGATTAATAAAAAGACAGCTGGCAGTTAAAGACTGATTTTTTAAATTTACATATCATTAACATATCAAAAAGAACACAGCCAACAGGATATTTGAAGAAAGCATTGAATTCAAAGAAACAGGAAACGATTGATTATTCTTAGCTTTTGAAGTTTTTATGACATTTTCCGGAATGTTCATAAATGACACATTCATTAATGAAGCTTTCACGCTTGACCAATTTTCGAGACTTAATAATTTCAGTAATCGGTTTCAAATTGCATTTGTATTGCAATCGGATTAAACAAAAATTCATTTGACTTCTGGTTCTCAAAGTCCAGAACCAATCATCATGAATTTTGTACTATGTATTGGAGAGCGTTATTGGCCTATCACATGGAAACAATTGAAAAGTGAGTTTCAAAAAAAAACAAGAATGAAACCGAGAAAATAGAAAAAATTGAAAATAGAAAAAATTGCATAACCTTTTTTCTCCACTGATCCCATGAAATAAGATTTGGAAGAGTGGATTTCGATAATAGTCAAAACTGTCCAAAAATCGAAGTTTTGACTTTTTCGAGGGCCATTCATTTTTCTATTAAAAAATTTGTGAGTAGCCGCTTATGAAGGGGAGCTTCAACAACCCGCTCTAACCATTGACCCCAAAAACTTCAAAATTTGTGAGGGTAGTTTTCGAGAAAAGTCAAAAACTTTCAAAAAACGGTTTAAAACATCGAAAGTTTGACTTTTCCGAGGGCCATAATACTTGGGCGTCAAAAAATTTGGCCGTAATCGCTAATGCAGGGGAGCTTCTCGTCACTCGTTCTCTCTATTGAATCCAGAATCTCAAAATTGGGAGGGTAGTTTTTGAGAAAATGTTTAAAAAAAATATGGGTCGAAAATTCCTCCCACACATTTTTTCGAAGTCTGTAGAAAGTGAAGTAAAGGTAAAAAGAGACTAGGGGATTATGCAGGCATGCAGGGGAAGGAGAGCTCTCCAAAAAACACGAATCCATGCATTTCCACAAACGTTGTTTTTATCAAACAGGAACTAGATAATTTGGAAACTAAACCGACAGAGCTTAAGTCGACATTCATGAAGCCGAAAATTGATCAGCAGAAACTCATCAGCAGAACTCTATAATTATACATAAAAAAGTTTAAGTAGTACCCGGAAATTTAATTTGAATTTTCATGGAATTGAGCTTGTCAGCATAATTGATTCAACTGATTTTGTTAAACTGGTTATCTAGAAAAAAGTCTATAGTACAATTTGATAACCGCAAGCGTAAAAAAATATTGAAATCCAAAATTTTCATACACTTGTCTCGAAAGACGTTCATTTTGAGGAAAAAATGGAAAAGACAATTAGCAACTATAAATTATCATTGAAACTAAAGTTGTGAATCAGTAACTAAGCCGACAAAAAATGTATTCGCTAGTTCGGCCGAAAAAATCTTTGCCATAGTAAAATTTTAGCCAGACGTTTCGGATACTCCCAGTCAGCACACGCAAAAAAATATTATGGGTCTACAAAAAACACATTATTAGTGTACTGAACCGCTAAAAGATTATCAGAAAGCTTTCAAGCCAACAGAAATACAAGTTTTTTTTTTACAAAAAACCGTGAGATTTAATAAGCAGACATACTTAGAAAATATCAATGGAGTCACCAACCGAGCTCAGTCGAAATAGCTCTTACACCATTTTAACAAAAAGTAAAAACTGCAAATAAGTCTAGTTTTCAATCACAAGACACTACACAAGTAGAATTATACTAAAAAACATAGCCAACAAACAGTTGGGAAAGAGTCAACCTACACAAGTAAACCCAAAAAAAACTGACTTGTTTTTTGAATTAAAAAATCTCAAGATTTGATGTGTCGAGAAACAAAGTGCCTTGACTTGTTTTTTGAATTAAAAAATCTCAGATTTGATGTGCAGAGAAACAAAGTGCTTTAAAACTCTTTAAATTTCAATTTATGGTTGTCACTTATTCGCAAAAATAACCCAACTTCAGAAAACTGGATCAATAGGAAAAATTTTTATTTCGCAGGGAAATCTGATAACTAAATTTCATTTTCGAAATTAGAAGTCGATCACGTTTTTCGTGACCTTTACACATTTGATGTTTGATAATGGAAATTGCTTCCTTTTAGCAAAGGAAACTAATTGAAATTCAGTTTTTTTTTAGTTTCTATTAAGTTTTTTTATTGAATAATTTCAGGCAGAAAATAACCACACTCCAGGATCTCGTGCAGAACTTGCCGCCACATTCCTTTAAAGACAAAACCAGTCAATTCAATGTTGCGAAAAATATCTGGAAATTTAACATTTTTTTGACATATTGAAGCAATACGTTAAACCACCAACTTCAATCGATTTCAAAAAAATTGCTCAAACGAAAAAGCACCAAACTAATTAAAACTTAAACTAGTTTCACGTACTAGAACAAAAAATCAGAAACCATGCATCTGAAAAAAATGGAAATTTACTGCAAAAAAATTCCAGCAGCAAAATTCAAAAAGGTTTTATTTGTAACAAAAACTTTTGGCGCCAGAAAACCATAAACTACTTTTACGCTCATGAAAATGAAGAAAAAAAGTACTCAAAATATCTAGCAAAAAATTACAGAATTAATTACCCGGCAAGTAAGCCGACAAGAATTGGGTCAAAATCAATAAAGCCGACAAAAAAATCAACTCACATCTAAAAAATTTTCCAGCTGTAAAACAATTATCAACTCAGTCGTTGAAGCCAGCTGTTAGACGTGGAAGTTGGGTAGAAATAGAGATGCATTTTGAGATAACCAAATTTCAGTCATCCTGGGGACAGAGTTGGTTACGGGAAAAAAGTCAAGTACCGATTGTAATACTCTTGCTATCGCAAGAATAATGAATATATCAGTTCCAATCGATCCTAATCATATCAAAATTTTTCGAACCGCATACTTTTTGACGCTCAAATTATACATTTGGAGAATTTGAAAAAAAAATTTCTTAAACTTTGAAATAAGATGATTACTTTGACACTCTACGTAAAAACAGCTCAAAATTATGGCACATAACTTAATATGGAAAATGTTTTACAGGGAACAAGGTCGTTTGCGGTTGTTATATACTTGTTAATTGCAAGTGTTAAACACTTTGTTTTGCTGGAGAACAAAAAGACTGTACTCACTTTTCTGGCGAGGAAGGGAATGATGAAAAACTGGAGCATGAGACAGAGAGCACCAAAGACAGCCACTTGAGAGTCCACGACAGTTGCCATTGTTATAACTACCCGGTTAGAACTAGATATAACTAACTAGAGGCAGATGCGAGTAATTCGTAGAAATATAATTTTATGCTCTGAGTTATGATAAATAGATAAGACTAATTTACTCGAGCAAGATATAAAAAGTTGGAAAATAACAATTTCAATTACAGAAAAAATGGAAGGTAGAACTAGAAGTATAAAAATTAGAAATTCACAAACTAACACGAATTCTAAACAAATAGGAGTTAAATTCAATTCGATTCAAACCAATCCACAATTAGGCACCAACTGAACTAGCAATAAATTTCAGTTTCGGATCTTTTAGACTGAAGACCCGATCTCTTTTTGAATAGTAAGTAGAATTGGATATGGATAATCGCAATTGCAAACTACCTTTCCTCAATTCAGACAGAAAAAGGAAATATTTGTCAATTTTAGTCAAATGATCTATTACTCCGGAATTCAGCTAACGAATGGTGGCGCGGTTGAGTAAGAGGACTATACTACCATTCGGTGGTGAAGCAAATCAAATTTGTTGTTCGAATGACTCAATAAGTCATTCGATTTTTCAAACGCTATGTGAACCAAGTTTGGCCAATTTAGTCACTGGTTTTTATTGTAGTGCGAGTTACAGAACAAAGATATCTTTCAAATAAGTATTTTTTTCGATGAGTTCGAGATTTAGAAAACGTGTAGCCAGTTTTTAGTCCAGTTTGAAGACAAGAAGCCACTGATAATTGTTCTTGAATAAAAAAGTAGTTATTCAGAGTAGAATGAATCGATGGCAACAACAAACAGATACAAACGTTCAATCCGAATTTTTAATTGCCGGCGCTGCTGAATCAATTAGCTAAAATTTCAGGAAGCTGCCAAGTTTTAATTGGGAAAGAAAAGACTGCTGTTAGATTGGAAGTAAGTTAGTTACCAACGCGCAATTAGTTACTGTTTTTTTTATTCAGAGCATGCGATCGATTGAATATAAAATGCCTGAGAGAGAATTTTGGAGCTTATAAAGTAAACGGAGGAAGAACTAATCGATTGAATAAAATGGTTGCTTGACTGTAGCGTAGAGGTAAAAAATACAAGTCTATATAAGGCAGGCAGGTACGCAACTCAACTACTTTTTTCAGTCTTTTCTCAATTTAATGTTTTTAACCAGTGTGGGACTTTACGAGGCCAATATTTGGTCAAGAGCAAGCACAACAGGGGCCATAATGGGAAAGAGAGTAACTGCAGACTATTAGTATAATGGCAAATACCTTCACAAATTCACAATAACCCACTGCACAAACCCACAGCTAAAGACAATACTCGTTCAAGAGATAGAAGAGATGCATATACTTTTCTCCTTCAACACTGGATGCAGTTATGTGGAATAATTTGAATAATATTTCCTTCTTTTTTGCTCGCCCGCTGCAAACAAATACTAGAAGAGAATTGCGGCAAGTCCGATAATGGAAATTTCAGAAGGAATGACGCAATAGCGGGTCTATGTTGGGAGCTAACTAATAACAACCAACTGGATGAATAAATAAGATGAGTCTTCACTTCATTAACCTATTATTAGGCAGAAGATTATTAGTTATTATTCGACTGTCTTCAGATCATGAGTTCATAACCAATGGCACGAAGTATTATAACTATAATTAAAGTGATATGGCATCTAGTTAAATGCTGTCTGCAAATCCAAGATCGAAACTAATGGCACTGATTAATGTAATTGGAACTATTGGAAGTGGCTTTAATAGCATGTATTCTGCTTCTCTTTTGTTCTCGTCAGGTATTTTTCAGACTGTCAGTTAGTTCAAAATAGCACTCTGCTTCAGTCGGACAATATCAGCTGTTGATCTTCTCAAATTTGAATCTAGTCACAACAGCAATTGTCCAATTCCTATGATGAAGAGAGCTATCTATAGAAATGCGTGTTGGTAGTGTTCTAATATAGAAATCGGCTCGACCTCTTCTTTCAAATGTTGAATGGTGGTTGAGAAGGTCGGCTGGCGGCTGATATGATGAAGACTAAATAGACTCTCACCGTCAAATAAGGTCACAAGTCCATTTCTACACTGAAACTAAACTCATAACTGACTCAGAGTACATTTCATGTCTTACAACTATGTATGGTCGAATACATAAAGAAGAGAAATTAATAAAGTGCAGAGAAATTAATAAAGTGCAAACCACCGAGTTCAAAGTTCAACATTAAACTGAACCATTTGCAGTTTAGCAAATATCGAGTCAAGTGTACATGTATTAAAGGTGTCTAAAGAGTCATTATTTGCCCTTTCAGACATTCACTAGTTCTGCTTTGACAGTCCTATTTCGAGGTGGTTTATGAGCGCAAACTCGGAAACATTACATGAACTTAAACAATTCATGATTAATTGTTGAGAGAAATTTTGACTCAGCATTTTTTTGAAATCAACAACCATAATATGCAGTTTATTTGACCTTTGAAGTGAAAACAAACACACTTTACTTCAAGTTCGATAATAATTCAATAAAAGAGGCTTTGCTGAAATAATACACTCACGGGTGCAGAAAAAGGTGATCATTGAGTTTTGACGCTGATGATTATAGGGCACTAGTTGACCGAGAAAGGCTATCAAAAAGGACTTATTCAATGATGGCCTTCAGTAAATATGAAAATCCGTTTTTTGAGATGGGGCGAATCTTGGGACTTTCGCTTGGGGGTTCATTTCGAAAGAGGTTTTTAAAATAGTCCTTCCTTAGGGCGGTGAAAGGAAGCAGCCGTGGCTGAGTGAATAACCCACGCGGCATTCAACACAAAGGTTCTGGGATCGAATCCCGGTTCGGTCATAATTGGCGGGGTTCCAGTTTCACCCGCCTCCTCAAGGTGGGACCGGCTGCGGCAAAACCTCTCTACCCCACGGAAAAAAGGCTCAACGTAGAAAGGTGGAAGTAGGGCCGGGGGGCTAATAAAAAACTGTTCAATTTCTGTTGGTGACATTCTCTTTCCTACCTCAACAGCTCCCTTGAGATTAGAGTCTAGCAAATAATGGTAAGCCCCTCCCCCATCTTAATGACAAAAATATGGACTCAATTATATTCTTATCTCAGGGAAGCTGTTAAGGTATGAAAGAGGGGGTCACCAACAGAAATTGAACCCCTCCCCACCCAAAGGTGAGTTCGGGAAAACAATTCGGACAATTTGGAAAATTCTTTCAGAAATAAACACCTTAGGGAAAAGTAAAGATTCGCCCCCGCTTCATTGTCTAGAAAATTTTGACTGTTGACTTCATCTATTTAAACACAGCTGTCTGTCAATGTCTACTTGGCATTATTTTAAACACTCAATGAAAAGAAGAAAAGTCTCCAAAGCCGGCGCTAAGCCTCAACTAATGCCATTAACTTCGAGCTAATGCAGTCATCTCAATACATTATAATCTTAAGGCATTTTTTCAACATTTTTTTTTGAATTTCGCATTGTTTTTGAAAATGTTTCGTTACTTTTGAATTTCTTTTCGTAAATCAAATTGATCGCAAAAACCTTGTTCTACTTGCACAGCAACCAAAATTTTTCGTATCTGCCGCGTTCATTTGTAATCAAAAGGAAAGGAAAAAATGATTGTTTCCCAAAATAAAACTGACACAACTCCATTTTTATCCCATTGTGTTTACGAAAGAACATTTAGGAAAACGCGAAGAGCAAATAGACCGCAGTTGACTCAGTTCAAAATTTATTTGAACGGTGAAAAAGAAATTTAAGAAAAAGATACATTCAATCAACTAATCATTCATAGAGAAAATCAAAAAATGCGTCCAAATTTACGAAAATTGAACAAAAGGCTAGACCATTAAAAATGAGCGGGAAAAATTAAATAAATTAAGCTACAGGTCAACTTTCAATCATTAAAAATGAGCCTCAGATAGTGTCAGTGTAAAAACAGAAGTAGAGGACTAATGGAGAAGGAAGTTGTTGACAAACGTGCTTTTAGAACAGGTTTCTAGTAACAGGATAGCCTTCGAATAGGTTTTGCTTCACCACACACACCATCAGGGGACAAATTAGGCGACACAAAAGGAATATCAGAGAAGAGAGAGAAGGAAATTGAAATACAGGAACAGTATAAGCTATAGGCTGAAAACAGAGAGGGAATTAATCAAACTAACCACGCGAAATAAGACCACTTGTGATTTTGCACTTCTTGCAAATCCCGCCAAGCCCCAAAGAGGAAACATTAAACACATTATGTAACATAAAACTAATGGGATCACAAACAACTGCTACGATAAACACACTTTGAGGTTCTTCTTTCCAAATTGAAGGTGTAAACAATGCTGCACTCAACATACGCTTAAAAGTATCCATCTTATTGCTAGTGATTGAAAAACATAGCCAAAGCAATTCTGCGAAAGTCCCTGAGGGTTAGAACCAGAGGAGGCGGTTGCTATACGAGTATCACCGAATGATTGAGCTCATCTTTGCAAAAATTTCGAGAAAAAAGTATCAGTAGTTAAACGTAGCTTTGTACAAGGACTAATAACAGATTCATAAAAAAAAACGAAAAACCCTTTTCTCGACAATAGAATTTTTTTCGTTACTTTTAACCACCATCGAATGGCAACTGCAAATCCTTCAAAATGATAAATCAATCAACATCGTCCGATGCTTTGTTTGATACCTGATTTGTCAAAAAAACTGCCTGAAACCAAAACATTCATCTTCGTTTGTAGGTATTTGCACAAAACAAAATTTCGATTAAGAAATATGTTATGTTCCAGTTTTTGTTTTTTGCTCCAGGAGCTCGCGAAGTTGTGAACAAGTAGTAGTAGTATAAGACTTGATTACGCGTCAGGGTAACTTAGAAACGAAATAAAAACAAAGCAAGAAATACAAATAAGTTAAAACAGAGCGTGCAATAATAGCACCGTATAGATCGTGGACAGGTGTTCTGATCAAGAATATTTCTCGGTAGTGCAAACCTTTAAGCAGCCGCATACCAGTTGAATAGAATCGTAATTAGGAGAGCAAGTTCAGAACCGAGTTTATCTTGCAAATCATTGTGCAGTGTTGAGACTAGCATGAAATAGGATGCCTCGCTCAATCGCTTTATTAATTTCTAGAACATTAACTTTGTGACACGTCCACTCCGCAGAGAACTTTTAGGACTTCAAAATTAGAAAACAAAAGTGAATTTGATGAAGTTCTTGTCACGGCAAATGTTAGCATAAGACTTGAAATTACGCAACAGTATAAGCAACTGGTAAAGTTTCTGATAATTTAAGACAAAATTCGCAAGAAGTTGAGGATGCGAAACAACAAAACGATACCTAAGAGACTCTAGTTTGGCCAGCAGGGGAACATCTGGGCTCCAAAATTCAGAGCAAAAAAAACATGATCGAAACACTTCATGCGAGGCTGAAAGGACTGTATTGCGTAAATAACAGAAACTCCGAGTTTTGGTCCGAAGAAATAGGAACACCCAAATCTTCAGCTTTCTTCTTGCACTGGAGCACAGAGTTATTATTTTAAGTTTATCACTGGGACGCAGGAGAAAAAAGAAAGTAGAAGACTTAGACTGATAAAATTTCAGGTTCAGGTCAAATATCAGCAGATCAGTATCGAATTGCCTAAACGCAAAAACTGGTAGAAGAGATGTGCTGAGATTGGCGATACTTGCAAAACGAAATCACTTGGACAAATGTGGACGATCCAACGTATCATAACATAAAATAGAAAGAGTATAGGCCCCAAGACGCTCCCTTGTGGGACTACACTTTGACTGAACCTGACTTGAGATGAATTTCCAACGATTTACACATTATGCGATCTATCGGTACAGTAGCTTAACTTAAGCTTTAGACCAGCTTCATCAAAGCCAAAATGTACAGTATCATAGCAGTAAAAGTTTTGTAGCGGTATCATTTGAGAAATGCTATCGAAAGCTTTCATTACATCAAGAAAAACAACCAGTTGCTCTTCAACTGTCAAAATTACTTTACAGATTATCGACAAAAAAGAGAATTTGAGTAACTGATAATGTTCTTTTTATGAAGTCATGTTGGAAAAATGTTTTCAAAGATTGCAATAAAATTTGCGCATTTCCACACTGAGGGCTATTGCTCTATGCTAATAAGCGCAGTAACTAGAGTCAACAAGGGAAAAACAGAAGGCGCAATCCAGAAGACACTTTTCCGTAATAAGGATGGTAGGGGTAATTCATTCGCACAAGTTCTGAGTCAGGGACTTTTCCAAGAAGACAAGGAACATCAATGATACTGAAATCAACTTCATCTTAAAGAAGATCGGGATGAATTGAACTCGTGCAGTTACTCCACTATAAATGGGGTTTTTGAAAACAGAATGAAATAACTTTTTGAACAATGCCAAAAATGCTATAGCTTGATTCAAATATGATAGCCGTATTTATGTCAATTAATATATCAGCCTCTCTTTCAAATAAAACCCGCTGATTTTTATCCTTTTTCTTTCACTTTCCTTCAATTTTCTTCTTGGCCGTGCGCAATTTGTTCAAATACTGCACTTTGAGCGAGCTGTAGAAAGAAGAACTACTTTTCTCCGCTTGCGCTTAGTTTCAAGCTCGCTGTGAGTGGGCTATCCATTTTATGCTATCAGTTATTTAGTATATTTGCATTGCTTCGCTCTTCTAAGAGCTCAGTGAGGTCAGAAAAATGCAGGCGAGAATATAGTCTATGCAAAGGTAACAATTTAACCAGCTCCATAACACTTTCAATCACTTTGTGACTTGGTCAGAACTAAGTCTGAAAACTTGCGAAAACAATGTTGACAGAAGCTCGGTTCAATAGCAGTATTCAGAAAACATTTAAAGGAAGAATATTTGAACCTGAGTCTACATTGTTTCAAAAAAAAACTGTATGTATTTGCACGCAGATCACTCAGTCTTATCCGGTTTTCATTATTAAACAGTACATGGAGTCTGAGTAGCAAAAAAAGGGAACCATTTATCTCGACGCGGAAAATCTTTGCGACTCTCAACTACGACAAATTTTATCGTGAAAAAACTGCTTACAAGCGCGCATTAATTATCCCGAATTCAGTGATTTAGAAATTCTCAAATCTTGCTAGATTTGCAAAAATGATCACAAAT